ATTGCATTTGAGACTGGGTGTGGTAGTGCGTGCCTGTAATCCCAGCTCTTGGGAGGCTGTAAACAGGTGGATCACTACAAGTCCAATCTAGTAGTGAGAACCTGAACACCCTGTAGACCCTGCACTAAAATACAAAAATAAATAAATAAATAAAAATTAAAAATTAGGAGAAAGGATTACAAATAAATTGCACTGGGTTAGTAAATTTCTGAAGTTAAGAAATCTCTAGGTTCAAGGGCTTATTCTACACTGGGGAGCTTGTAACTTTAGCACTTGAACCTCAAACATCCTCCCCTATAACTGAAGCTAATGCGCGCTCCACTGCTCATTGTGAGGCTGCTGAGAAGACCAAATGTTAAAAATGCTCTGTTGGTGAAAAAGAACTGGTGCTTTATTGTTATCCTGGTTTTCACCAGTATTTTTCAAAGAAAATAGAGATTTCTAACAAGGCCTAATCATTTTCATTTATTTAAACTCATACTATTTTTTTTGGCAGAACCAGGGATTGAACTCAGGCCCTTGTGCTTGCCAGGCAAGCACTTATTCTACTGAGCTATCTCCCCAGCCAATCTCATACTATTTTAATACTGCCACTTTCACTCTCCCCATCCTTTGAGAAAATGACTTTCTCCTTTGTGCTATCTGGTATAACTTTGTATCTAAATTATCTTAGATAATTTAAGAGTTCCTCATAGCCTTAGCTCCTTCACTCCATAAAATTTACCTTCCCCTATACACAAGAGAAATAAATCTTGAGTTTTTATAGCTAAAGATGTATTACTACCTCTCCCAAAGTCTCTTCAATTACAGTATTATATATCACTTTTAGTAAATGACTACCTCTAATTCTCTGTCTTAGATTATGCTTTTATCTGCTGTAAATTCAGGGGACCATGGGAGTAGCGCTTACTACTGAGCGAAAAACATGATTCCCTTGCCTCGCCATGCTGAGACTACTTCTTCAATCCATGTGTATACACTGATTTGACACAATTTGCACCAAGAAAATTTCTCCTCTGGCTCCCTCCTTAGCCTTCAAAGAAGTGATCAGATAAATTGCTCTAGCATACGTTCTGGTACATGATACACTTTAATGCAATGACCTGCTGATCTTATTATTACTAGAGATCCAAGAAATTGAGAAAGAACCAGAAATCTTCAGCATGATGCAAACAAAAAGCACTTAAGAAACCTGGGACACCCAGACAGCTCAGCAGATTAAAGCACCTGCTCAGGCAGATCCAAGGACTGGATTGGATCCCAGGATTGCCATGCCACCCCCACCCCCAGGGTTGGCTTAGATAGTGATTGATACTGGGTGTGGTGGTACACACCTGTAATCCCTGCACTTGGGAGGCTGAAAACAGAAGTATCACTATGAGTCCAATCTGTGTAGTGATCCTTGTACTACATTTTTAAAAAAGAAAAGAAACTCTTGCCCTCACATGCACACTCTGGTGTTATCTCACAGTAAGACACACAACCACCCCAGCCCAGGACAACCAACCCATCAGACACTCTTTTTTCATATTTCAGGGTCTATTCTAAGTTACTTCTTCTTGGAAATCTCTGATAAATCACACACAATGTGAATATTCTAATCAGGAGCCCAGCCCTATACAGGTATATGATTCACTCAAGTCTTCATAACCTATTCTCAACTTCAAAACTACTTTATGGGATGTCTTCTTATCCATATTGGTTTCTTAAACTGCTGGGAGATACACCATGCTTTGATTCTTTTGAAATATTTCTTTGAAGGGCTGGGGAGACAGCTCAGCCACCTAAGCACCTGCATAGCAAGCTCAAGCTCAATGAGGATTGAGAGTTCAATCCCAGGTACACTTTTTTTAAAAAAGGGCCAGGGAGATAATTCAGCAGCATAAGCACATGCCTGGCAACTGCAAGGTCCAGAGTTTGATCCCCAGCAACCGCAAAAAAAAAAAAAAAAAAAAAAAAAAGAATAAATATTTCTTTGAGATCCTGGAGTACATGGCATTCAATTGCCATTTTTTGAGTGGCAAAACTTAAAGGATAAACTGTCTAGATAGATTCAAATATTTGTAAAGACCCTTACTAATGACCAAAGAATATTCAAATGTTTAAGAAAATTTACTCTTGGGCCAGGGAGATGGTTCAAGTAGAATAAGCACTTGCCTGGCAAGAGAAAGAGTCTGAGTTCAATCTCCTGTTCTGCCAAAAAAAGAAAAAAAGAAAGAAAGAAAAAAAGAGAAAGAAAAAGAAAAGAAAATTTGCTCTCTACCACTACTGTTCCATGCTATTTTCCAGGCCCTAATCTGAAAAAAAGTAGGGAGTCCAAATGGAATCTGAACAGAGTGTTTGTTGGCCTTATTATCACACCCCCACATGTACCCACAAACCCTTCGAGGGTGCAGAGGGAGTTTCCAAACGTCAGGTTCCCTTCTACTCTAACTCAGTTAAGGGAGTGTCAACTCAGACCATGTACTGGTAGGAACAGATCTAAGAGTCAGGTGCTGGCACAGTCCCGTTACATTAAGCAATATGTTTCCCTACCTCCTTCTTGAGAAAGGAAAAGTAGCAAGTCTTTCTAAGGTATTTGGTTTTATAGTAACCCAACATCAAATTATGAGACTAATTTCTTTCTACCAGAAACTGTCATTGTTTCTCCACCTTTTGGCTAAGATCAAGTGTAAGTGAAACTAATCAGAGATTCTCACATCAGCCCATCCAGCTCCTGCAATCACATCTCACACCCAGTTCCACTGGGTTATGAAAGATCTGACCAGGTTAAGGTCAGTCCAGAAGACCTAAGTTACATCTGGGATTTTGCCTTTCTTCTGAGAAAATCTACCTAAAAATCTGAGTTTTAAAAAACCTCAAACTGGGCCTGGGGAGATGGATCAGTGGAATAAGCGCTTCACTGGCAAGTGCAAGAGCCTGAGTTCAATCCCTGGTTCCGCAAAAAAAACAAACGCAAATTCAATCTCACAATTAAAAGAAGACATAAAAACAATCAGGAGGAATGTTTAAGAAAAGCAAAATTAAAAGCAAGGCACAGATAATATGGCTTTCTATGGTTTCAAACACAAAATGGTTTTTACACTCTCTCTTCCCAGCATTGGATACACTTTCCGGGAGCTAACACTGCTACACTGCAATTGAACTGAACTAAAACTTAGCAATTTAGGAGAAATATATTAACAAAGGTTAGACACAAAAAACAACTTTTCCCTTTTTTCTTAAAATGCTATCCCAGGCCAGGCATGGTGGTGCATGCCTGTAATGCCAACACTCTGGAGGGTGAGGCAGGAGGACTGCCGGGAGTTTAGGGCCAGCCTCAACTGTATCTACTGTGTTCCATGGCAGTCTGAGCTATATAGCAAGACCCTGCTTCAAAATAAATAATGCTATCCCAGCCTTACATCTCCACACAAAAATAACTGACATTTAAATTTGTGTGTGTGTGTGTGTGTGTGTACTAGGAACCTCATGCTTGCCAGGCAGGTCCTGCGCCACTGAAATATACATCCGGCCCAGACATTTAAATTTCTGATTAAAGAAAACAAACTGCTTAGATGTCTCAAGCTGCAAAGAACCATCTGCACACAGGTTAAGGTCTGTTAATCTGCTTCTCATCTAACAGAGTCTGCAACAAAAATCTAAACCCCCTCTGACAAAAATGTGGGTGGCTTAGAAAGCTCTTGGCACATGTCAGAGCTATAGACGCAGCAGTTGGTTTATTTTTTATTTATTTATTTTTTTGGCGAAACTGGGGATTGAACTCATACCCTTGCGCTTGCCAGGGAAGCGCTTATTCCACTGAGCCATCTCCCCGGCCCACTCTGACAAAAATGGAGGAGTACTTTATCTATTTGAATCGTGTTGTTCATCTTGCTATTTTTCACGATTCACCCTAAGACACAGCAAATGTTAGCAGCGATGAGAACACATCATCCTACTGCAGCACGTTGGTCAGGGTGTGGGACAGCGGCCACTGGCCGGCAAGAAAGAAGCCAAAGATGCCCTAAGGCCAAAGCAATGTACTGCAAGTATGATTGGGAGGAACAACTTCACAGCACCTGTTCCCCAAATCCCTCCTCCAGAGCAGGTTAGAGGAACCCTTTAGCTACCTCAGGTCTACGCAAAATCGTACATCCTCTTCACTTATAATTAACTCCTAACACTCGAACTGTTTTCAGACTCCAGGAAACGTCCTTGATAATTCTCCAAGCCGTTTCTGGGAAGACTCTTTGGGTGTCTGCCCTGCACATCACTGGCGGGTCCCAGAGCTACTAACAGGACAGAGGTGTGAGATTTCGGAATGGAGAGCAAATCTATTATTTACGAAGGCAGACATTTAAAATATGTAGAGATAAAGAGACAGAGACAGGGATACGGCGAGAAGAAGGGAGGCAGAATCTTGTTGCACTTCCAGCAGGCATACACCCGTCCGGACCACCGGCACCTCTCAGGGTCTAGAGCACACCTCATTTCTTGCGCTCGTACTGAGGGAGAAAAATAGTGCTGCCCTCGCCCTGCCTCCCATCAAGTCCGAAGCGACAGCAAGAAGTCACGCCCCCTGCCAGCCCCATCCCAGCCTGGTCGTCGCCCACCACACCTGCGTCTCTACCCCAGCCCATGCTCCGGAACCCGGCAGCGCAGCCTCCCTCTCCCCGCAACACCCCCGCAACACCCTCAGCGGTCCCCACCACCACTCCGGCCCCTCCAACTCCTAAGTCGGTAGAACTCGGGGCTCTTAACGCCCCTCGGCTTCTCCCCTCCGCAACTCGCTGGCCCACGGCAGAGGCCCGACACCCACCCAACTCGCCCGGTCGCCACCAGCCCCGCCCTGGGACCCGCACCCCGCACCCCGCACCCCGCAGACTCGCGGCAGGCAAGGTCCACGCCGCAGCCCTGACTGGAGAAAGAGCTCCTGGGGCCTAGTCAAGGACACCGCCTCCTCCCGGCCCACATCCGCCTCAGCGGCCCTGGTCTCTTTCCCCGCGCGGGACACTGACCCACACGGTCCCGGGAAAGCACGGATCAGAGGGAGCCAGCAGCCAGAAGACAGGTCGCGACGCCTCCCCTCCGCCAGCTTTATAGCCGCGGACCCACCAGACGCCGGCGCGGCCGGGAGCCGGCGGGGGCGGGGCAGCGGCGGCAGCAGCCAATGGCAGCCAGCGCAGGCTCCGCCCAGCGCCCGCCCCCTCGCCCGAGATCGGCCAATCATGAGGAAGCCAGCGTCGGTGACTCGCGAGGGTTTTCCCTCGTGGCTGGAAGGGCGGGGGGAAGGGCGGGGACAAAGTCTGGAGGCCGAGGAAGTGGGGTGAGGCCGTGACGTACGGTGGCCCGAGAGCCCGCCTGCCAATGACCGAGCAGCGAGAGACGGCGAGAGCCAACGGGAGCGGAGTGAGAGGTTCTGCAGCCACTGGGAACTCAGCGAGAGGAGCTGGGGGCCAATGGGGACTCGGCGTCCCACCACGGGAGAGATCGTCCAGGGCAGGAGGCGAGGTGGTCCTTGCCTAGGCGTTGTCAGGTTGCCCGGCAACCAGAGCTCGGCCTCACCTGAGAGATTTTGGAACTACTCGATTTGAATTGAGTCCTAACGTCTTCTAATTTCCAGAGCAATAAAGTGCTCCAAGATTACAAATTGGAGAAGATACCTCTCGCAGAATTTGTAAATATTCTAAATTCCTGATTAGTGTGTATCCAATATTGTCATTGCTAGTCAAAACTACCTTGCCTTGACTAAAGCAAACAAACAAAACAAAACAAAACAAACCCTGCGTCGTCGTCGAGAGGAATCTTCTTAACTAGATGTAAAACAAGTTTTAGAAGTTTGGCATCAGTGAGGAGAATGCCGTTTTTACCAGAAAAGGGAAGTAGCCCGGAGTGCAAAGATTTTTGCTAGACATCTGAGCCCATCCTTGCCGCGTCTTGCGAGTGTTGGTAGTAGTAGGTATTAAATGAAAGACGAAAAGGGCCCTGTAATCCTTTGCACAGCTACTTGGTTGAGTAAGGACTGCCTTGTCACCCATAAAATGAGGAGCACTTCAAGCTAGAGAAAATCTCTAGCCATACACTTTGGAGAGAGCTGGGGGAAGATGACTGTGTCCTCGCAATAGTCGGCCTCCGCTGGGGCTCCGACTATCACTCATATAGGGCAACTGTAATCACTAGCTTTGGTGGGGATTGTGAGGGACTTCAGATGGCTGGCATCTCTCCCCTTCTCCATTCTGTTACCAATGAGGGGTGTTGTTAATGAGGGGTAATCAATAATTCTATCAATACACAACTTTTTTATGTATTTGGTGCAGCGTCTCACTATGCAGCTCAGACTCGTAGTGCCCCTCCTGTCTCAGCCTCCCCAGCACTGGGATAACAGGCCCGCACCCATACCCGGTTTTGGTGGCCAGCTCAGCACCCGGCTGGCCGGGCATGCGGTACCAGAGATCCAACCCAGGTCCTTGCACTTGCCAGGCAGCTGCTTGGACCGCCGAGCTATCTCCCCTGGCTTTGCATGGGCATCTTATGCAACTGGAAATTTACACAAATGACAGGCTGTCTTTCTGATGAAATTAATTTTCAATCAAGCAAAGTGAGCATGGTTATTGACTTTGGGGAAACTAATGGACAATAAAATGGGTTAATAAAGGCAGAGCCAAATATCTTAATTGCATTAGACATAGACTCAGATCCATAAGATATTATAGTAGATTAATTATATATCAGACTGCACCAATATCTGCTGTGGCTTACGCTGAGGGCAAACTATCTAAGTATTCATAATCCAAGAAATTGCAAATTACTTAAGCACTGACTTTTGGCCTAACCATGGGAAGGACAGTGTCATACTTGAATGTGCATCTAAGCATGTTAAAATACTATATACGCTTTATTGTTAAAAGTTAATGTTGGGGCCGCGGAGATAGCTCGGTAGAATAAGCACTTGCCTGGCAAGCACAACAGCCCGAATTCAATCCCCGGTTCTGCAAAAAAAAAAAAAAAATTAATAATAATAGTAATAATAATAATAAAAGTTAACGTTAAAATATAAAATAAATAAAAGTTAATGTTGGCTGAGGCGCGGCGGGCAGCGGCGGGGCCGGCGTGGGCGGGTGGCTCTGGTGCGCAGGGACGGTCCCGGCTGCGGACAAGCGCTCGGCTGAGGACAAGCGCTCGGGAGGGGCTGACGGCTGCGCAGACCCTGTAATTTACAAGATTAAAGTTAATTTGGTTGCTGGCGGTTCTGAATAAGTACAGCTCTTTTATCTCAGGTATATGAATTTGCCTTTACTATTTTTTTTTTTTTTTTTTTTTTGTGGAACCGGGAATTGAACTCAGGCCCTTACGCTTGCCAGAGACGCGCTTATTCTACTGAGCCATCTCCTGGGCCCCTCAGGTATATGATTTTGAAGACTGAGACATTGGAGTTTTAACCTCTAAGGATAAAGAAAATGTTTGGGGAAAGTCTTACTTTATATCACAAAAATGAGAATCCCGGCTGATAATCTAGAAGGCCTGTACAGTGTAGCAGACCTTGGAAACACACCCAGCCAGCTTGAAGAGTCTCCGAAGGACCCTCCCACTGAGAAGTCAAGACGGCAGTCCACTACGGGGAACTGAGGAAAGTGGATTAATACGAGAGTGCTGTGATAAAATACCACCAAGACAGGGTTCTTTTAACATGGATTCAGTGAAATGAATGAAACCTATGTTACCCAAGAAATGGACAGTGGATTTGACTTTCTAAAAGACTTTTGCATCATTTAAACTAGTTCATTTTTAACATTTGGAGAAAAAAGATAACACAGATGACTGTGTATGCGAAATTTAGATTTGCTTGAATATGACTTCATGGAATGTTGTTAACTTTAATAAAGTTTCTAACGATAAAAATAAAAAATAAAATTTAAAAAGTTAATGCTAAATATCATAGGCACAACACTATAAATACTGTATATCACTGGTAAAGTATAATTTGTTGTATGGGTAAAAATTCTTAAACAGGAAGACATAATTATAACTTTTTTTTATTTTAGGGAAAGGTCTACAGGGTGTTCAGGGTCTCACTACTAGATCAGACTTGCAGTGATCCGCCTGTCTACAGCCTCCCAAGGGCTGAGATTACAGGCACGCACCAGCACGCCTAGTCTTAATCGCCATCTCAGGGCAACCTAGGGGTGGGGCCGGCATGACAGGCCTGGGGATGGAATCCCGGGTCCCTGCGCCTGCTTGCAGGTGCTTTAATCCGTTGAGCTATTTGGCCAGCCCTAATTATAACATTTAGTATTATAAATCCACCTATTGAACAAACATTTACTCTTTGCCTGCTCTGTGGCAAGAATTGCTGTCTCATAAGGCAGGCTCCTGCAGCTATGGCTGTTGCAGGTAGCTCGAGCACAGTGAGATGCGCTGCAAATGTAAAAGTCACACTGTATCTTCAGACCTGGCATATACACACATATGCAGTCTAAATTGCTTGTTGATAACATAAATTTACATGTTGTAATGGTAATCTTTTACTTACATTGGATTGCAATATATTATTAAAACCAATTTTACCTGTTTCTCTTTAGTGTTTAATATAGCTACTAGGAAATTGAAAAGTTACATGCAGTTTTCATTTGTGGGGGACAGTGGGAATAGGTAGTGGGAAGATACAGACTGTCACAAGGAGCACGTAGTCTAAGGAGGAGAAGAGGAGAGAGGAGAGAAAAATAAATAGATCAAGGGGGTAGGTTTCATGCTGTAACTAAAAGGCAAAAAAAAAAAAAAAGCCACCAGTCACGGTGGGGTCTGTGGTAAGAAATCTAAACTTGAGCACCTCTATCTCATTAGTTAGTGAGTAAAAGAGGGCAAGGGGGAAGAATTTTCAAACTTTCCAATTAAAGGAGTCTCCACCTTTTCAGGTTTAAATACATTTATTTACATAAATATTTAACAGTTCAAAGTTTAATCCCCAGTTAAATTGGTTTAATTTCCCTGCCAGTCGTCTACTTGGCAAGCTGTGGTATGGATTTTATGCAGCGCACTGGTTGATACAGTGTCAGGAGAGGGGCTCAGCTCTCCCGTGTGGCTCCTTCTGACTGGCCCTTAGCTGGCCCTTCTCCTGCTCTCCAGGTGGATACGCTGTGTCAACTGGAGAGTTGAGAGGTTTGGAAACCTAACTAAGTGACTCAGCAAGGGCCAAGGTCCTCCCTTTGAAAATGTCCTGAGCTTGTGGAAGAGGGGGCACTGAGATGGTGTGGATGGCTAGTGGCCTGGGCTGTCCACTGTCGGGGAGGAAAAGGGGCTGCCCCCCACCCCTGCTCCTGCTGCCTTTGCTGTCTTCTGCCTTGATCTCCGAGCCAGCCTGAAACCTGCACAAGCCATGTGCTAAATAGACCTTTCCTTCCTTAGCTTTGGGCGTCTATTTTGTCTCAGTGAAAAGAGAAAAGTAACTAAGATGCTCTATGATAGACAGCTAAGTTAAGTAGAAATATTATAGGCAGGCAGAGGGGTAGGCTCTCCAGGGAGCCAGCACGGAGGACGAGGACTCTACAGCTGCGACTGGATGTGCACCTGTTGAAAGCAGGCCCCAAGATGAAGGCGGATGGCTGGGCCTGCGAGCTTCCCCAGGGGTAAGCCATAAACTGAAGACTGGACTCACCCGGGCCAGTACAGTCCAGACCGATATCAGCCACCCTAGTGAGTGACTACCAGCCCCCAACGCATCCCTTCTGTATGGCTGTGTCTAGACGCCCCTCAAAGCCTCGCGCCATCATAGATGGGTTTTTCAGAGGTGGCTGAATTTAGGATGTGTGGATTATCCCCAGTACTATGCTAGGATTAAAGGTACTAGACTTGAGGGTGGGTGATTAAAAAATCAACCCACTGACCAACTTAGCCCACCCTAACTCCAGTAACCTGGGAAGACGAGGTGCAAGGAGGTGCTTCTCAGGCTGCCTCGTTGCTCTGGTACCATCTGCCCGAAACACAGTTTCTCCTCTGAGATGCCCCTCTCACACGCCACCCTGCCTCAGAGCCAGCGGATTATGGACTGAAAGCTCCACACACTGTAAGCTAATAAACCTTCTCCTTAACTCTGATACCAGGTATTTTGCCTCAACAATGAGAAAAGTAACCAAGATACCT